GGCATACGAAAGTTTCTCCGCGAAACGTACAGACTTCCAACTCAGAACATACATACCCCACCATGCGTCCATCACGCGTGCGTAAGTAGAGGCTTGAGGTATGTAAATTTGCCCGGCAAAAATACACGCTTCCAAGCCCCAGAGTTTCGACGAGCATCCGCGTTGCACGATCCAGGATTCAATAGGGGGTTGGGCTCGCGTGAAAGCGGATCAGCTACAACCTTGCTCATTTGATCCAGCGAGCTGCATTTGTTGGCATAGATGGTGTGGACTCTGTCAGGCTGAAGATGAAGGATGGGGAAGGCCAAGCGAGCTACAAGAGATCTCTGGATGGCTTTTATATGAGAAGTTGCCCAAGCGAGCTTGCAACTTTGGCAGAGTTGCGAAGGGCCTTCACTCGTCAAAACACAAGATTGCAGTGGTTCACAGTGCGCGCAAGCTTCAGAAGGCTGGTAGTTAGACGCAGGCGATGGCTCTGAGGGGTTTCCAGAGTTCAGCAAGCTGGCAAAAGTAGGGTCACTTTGGAGCTTCAGTTGCGAGGAGAGCGTTGCTGAGATATGCTTCTTGACGGGCACCCCCACCTGCAAGAAGGTGAGCCAACTAGTATACAAGCGCGCGTCTCCGCAGCAAGCAAACTACACATGGAAAGTGTTTCCTTCATGAGCCCCCGGCAGGGGCTTCATGAGTGGATGACCCGGGGGTGATGGAGCTTCAGCGGAGCCTGGGGCGTTACACCGTTTCCTTGCGAGTGTTTGGGTCATGGCAATCGCTTAAGGGGTAAGTTGACAGAGCGCGCAAGCGCCAAAAATATGTCGCCAACCCCTATTTTTGTCATGCTTCTTGACCCGAGATGCAAGAATGAGTTACGAGGTGTTGGCGACAAACATGTGGCGCTAGTTGGTGTCCTTACCGGGTCTGCGCCAGATTGCCACCCAAAGCTAGTCGCGACGGTTTTGCTTGAAGCAACAAGTACAACAGGATCGTCGTTTGAGCGAGTTGTATCTCAAGGTTGGTGGCCCAGCTCCTTCAGGCCTTCAGGGTCAACCTACAAGCAGCACGATGAGGATTGGGCAACGGCAGCAGCAGCCAACTATTTTGATAACATTCAGATGGGCAGTTGCTGCTGATTTGGTTGGAAAAGGAAAGCTGGAGGAAATGAAGTGGGAGTTCGAAGCACCAGCCTGCGCGAGAAAGTTCCACGATCAGAGGGCAAAACCGGAATCACGGAGGAACGCATCACTTTGGGAGCTGGTCAAAATGAGTTCTCGTTGTTGCTTGCAGATGGGCGTTTGTTAAATTTAACGCGCTCACTTTATGCCTAAGGCAGTCAAGAGGTTGTACGTTGAGCTACCTGACACTGGCCAAGATAATGGCAATCATTGGTTGGCAAACTCAACTATAGGTTGCCGGGACGTGAGCAGAAATTGGATGCATGACGGGCAGAAACGTCTTGAGAGAACAAGGCGCCAAGATGGAAAAGCCAACCCGAAGCTGTTCTTCAATCGAAAGATGAATTTCCAAGACGCATTGTGGGGGGGACAACTTTCTGCTTCTCTGACCGAAACGTTGATGAATGTCACATTGCTTGTGAAGCTACAGTTTTGAATCGCGCGGTGAGTTTGCGAGGTGACGGTGTTGGCCGAAAGTTTGTTCGCATTGAAGCTGACAGCAGACAGTTTGCCCTGAGAGCAAATCGGTGAGTTCACTGTCAATCAAACCACAAGTCATGAGCGCACCAACACGCAAGTCATGCACTGATGCTCGTGAAAAACAACCGACCTGCGCATTGCACGGTGCAGCAGCGTAGGTCCAGGAGCGCTTGCTGTAGGGAAGCAAGCTGCTGCTGCGGTCAAAAAAATGCATGTAATCGACGGGTCCTCTCCCGCCTGAGCGCGCAGTTACTGTTGGACCAAAAGCAACCGGCCCCCCTCAAAGAAGGAACCCACCATTCGGTCAGCGGCGTTCACGTCGGCGTGACAGCTCAAGCGTGCTGAAGCAGCAGGCACACTCCGAAACTGTTGGTGCGCAACCCCGAGTAACTCACTTCTCATTTGTTAGTGTTTGCTTCACTAGTTTGCAGATTTCATCTCTCCTCAGTCAACTCATCCTCTATGCTACCTACACCGCTCTAGGGCTCTACTAGGAAATGTGGTTCCAATCAATCATTTTCTTAAGCGACTCACCTCTCATCCCCACCTTATTCTCATTTCACTTCATGTTGCCACATGCCGTTTCATAGAAGCCTCCAGCTGTACTGCTCTTGACGGTAAGTCAATGGTGCATGCAGGTCGGACGGATTTGAGATGCCAACACACCTGGCATTGAAAACACTACAAACTAACTTGTTTGGTAGGTGAACTGCTGGGTCTCTGGGAACACCGCGCGCGGTTCTCAATCCTGAGATATCCTGAGGTTGACAACTGCACAAATGTTTCAAGGATTCCTCCTAATAAAACTTGTTGATGCCTCTATGCTCAGCTCACTTGCTGATCCGACATTCGAACTCCATAGCTAGCAGCAAAGTTTTGCTTGATCATCCCCGTGGCCTCAAGTGAAGGTGCTGCTCGTCAAAAATGTTTGGAAACTCGCACCCGCCCCATTCTCATGGGTGCTTTGCAATGCTATGCCTCATTCTGCGGATATTCCTGCCAACCAGGCACGTTTTTTGGACACTCCGCCTATCCGTTTTGGTAGTCCAAACTCACAGATGTGTTGCCAACATATTCCCAGAAAGGCGTTGCTCAAGCCACGAGGTGAATCTCTAGAGCATATTTCGCAGTTGTTTGCAATGTTATTCACTTATTCATTTGATTGGAATGTAACTTCAAACCTGCACTTCGCAGCAAGTGGTCTACTGGCGCTCGCATTGAGGCCCAAGGCAGATTTTCAGCCAGTGATCGAAGAGGTCATGCAAGAAAATGATTTGATCGTCTCGTTTGCCACTTCTTAGCTGTACTTGGTTCTACTGCGCTTCACAGGTGGCAGGCTTTGCTGAAAACCAGGATTATGGCATCGGCTTCAACACATGGACAGCAGGGCAGAAGGTGGCAGGGCACCTTGCGTTTTGTGAATAGTGTTCTTATCGGTTGCGCAGTGATTCCCTGTGGCAGGGAATCGTCATTTGGGGCTTCCTGGGCTTAGCGGCCTTGGGTTTGCTGAGTGCCTACTCATGGGAATAGTTTGTGAGACAACCAGGTGCAAAGAAATGATGTTTGTCCGTAGTTGATACGCACGTCTCGCGGCATTCTCCCAGCGGCATAGGGCGGAAGCTTCAAACGGAGAACCAATAGGACGATGCTTTGAATCTTTCATTGTGTTCATCGTTCCCAATTTCTTTTGTGATGAAAGCAGTGGAGTGATCCTTTGTGTGGCAATGTGCTGGGCGACATGGCAATGCTGTCTTTGGCGATCTGTGTTGTAGTACTGAGTGCCCTCACAATGTCTCATGCAGTGTGCTGTGTTATATAATTTTGGTGATGTGTAAGGTGACTTCCGCTGCAAACGTGCTTATGTGTACTGGTTAAAGTGGATGTAGAACGTATTGTGATAACGCGTATATAATTGAATGTAGTGCGGTTGCGCATTATGTAATAGGGTGATGTGTGGTGGCATGTAGGAACGTAGTATTAATGTGGTGATGTGTGATTTGGTGAAGAGCATTAGTGGACAGTACTGCGTGGCTATGTTGACGTGTTCACCTCCAATTATGAAGTGAGATGGAATGGGGCGGCTCACCATGGGTGCCTCTGATGCGCAGTTATTTTATATACAATAATTGTATATAATTGTGTCAATATGTGACGTGCTGGAGTGAATTGATGTAGCGACGTGTTGGCCAACAGCTGGCATTTCTTGCTGGTATTGAGTTGCAATGATTTGATGTGGTTTCTTGGCAATTATGTTGTAATTTGCTGTGAAATTACGTTGATTTGCTGTCAAGTGCAACATCAGTTTTATTCCCCGCCAGCGATCAAAAGTTACCGTATAGATCCTCTCACTGATGTAGGACAGCTAACACGAAGAAAAACTCATGAAAAGGTATTATATAAAAGGTACGATCACAGGTCAAACGAGGACAGCTTTGAACAATGCTGAATCCACCCCATTTGCCAAACAGCTGCGCACGCGCAGAGATTAATTAGTGCGCAATAGGCTATAGCACAGGGTTTTTTCAAGACGTACAATGACGTACAATAATACTCCTTTTGTGCTGTCTCATTCCTCATGTGTCTCATGCTTCTCAATATTCTTGTGTATTTTGCTTGGAATCCATCACTCGGAAGTTTCATGAAGTTTCATACACAGTACACAGTGAATGTTCTTTGACTAAGTGTTGTGGCTCGCGATCTGATGCAGTTTCAGCGTGACGGACATCATTCATGACCATCACAAAATGGAATGCTTCATAGTCATGCGACCCATGCACTTTGATGGCGGACGTGCTGAATCCTTCATAAGTACTATTAATTATTGCATACATTACGCATACATTGATACGCATAATCAGAGGTGGTGCAAGTTGTCTAAATAAGGATTGCCTATATAGAAGCCTCAATCCATCAGTAGGCCGCTAGGATAAAAGCTAAGGGAGTCTATCCATTCGACAGAAGCAAGAACAGGTAACAACCTAACAACCGCGTTGTGACCTTGGTGCGTTTCTGTTGGTGTGAACATAAATTTATATGGATGATTATTAATTGAAGATATGAAACATAGTCATGTTGTTGGAGGTTACGAAAGGAGCACCCCTGCTGTCAACTCTTCAAAAGCAGCTCAAAGCTGTATTTAAGTCGGCATGTAGAGCTCGTGGTACAGTCTTTGTCGGGTGCTCATCAAATTTTCTGCAAGTTGGCCAAAGCCGCTCCAAGCTTCGGATTGCGCGAAAAGGAAAGGGATCGAAAAGGATGATTAAAGCATTGTCCTGGAATGTCTTGGACGCTGTTGCATGAAAGTTGCATGACATCCATTCAAAGTTGGCAGCCGACTTAGTTTTGTTGCAGGTTGCAGGTGAGTTTGCCGCGTTCGCGGAGGCGGAAGTAGAATGACATTCAAGGGCATAAAATCACAAGAATGCTCAAGCTACAGTAATCGGTGCGAACTGCAAAGCAATCCATGGAATACTCGTGGCTCATGTGCACAATGAAGCTTGTTCTTGGCCATTTCAGGACTATTTACAAGCGTCAGGCCTCTTGAAGGAGGTGCACTTGAAGCGAAAGTAAACAGTGCGATATGACATAGATATATAGGGGGGCACAGCCTGCCTCCTTGCCTTCTCTTTTTGTTCACTTGGAGCGAACAAACACAACTTCAAAAGGCTCTTGACCTCTTCAAGACTGAGAGGGACGAAAAGGCAGGCATGCAGCATCTAGCAGAACACAGTTTGGACATGTTCATTTTTGAGGTGGAGGGATTGATCAAGCATTGCGAAGAGCTCAAGGAGAAAGGGAAGTAGTGGGGACCAACACTCAACGGCCGTTCTCAGAGAAAACAAAAACTCTTAGTGCTACCAACTCTAAACTCAATGTTGAATTGACTTGACTCACGTTATATATAATCAATCACAATTCAGCTTTGGCACAGCTTGAATCAAAGGAGTTTTGCGATGCCTCACTTGCACGCGGACCCCAAAAGTAAAGCCTGGACATGCTGCAAAGCCAGCTCTCTCAACTCAGCGTAAAAAACAAATATGAAAGGTATTGACAGTGATTCAATATTGATCCATCCTTTTCGATTGACGGCCTTCAGCATCCAAGTTCTTTTGGCAAGATTTCGGTCCACAGGATTTCTACAAGATCCTTCAACCACATGGGAACGCAACGCTACGCCAGTTACATGGGAACGCAACACTCACTACGCCAGTTTGCAGTACCAGTACCAGTTCATTTTGGTTGAATCACCTACTGTAATTCATAGCCGACAATCGCAGGATTTGCAGGATAGTTTTGCTCTGAATTTTGCAGATTTCAGCGTCATGGAAGCAGTTCATGTTGAGAGGCAGGAGCAGGTTCCCGACCAAATATTGCAAATCACATTAAACGGTAGGTCAAAGCTTGTGCAGCGGCAAAAGCAGCAGCGGCAGGAGCGAGAGGTGTTTCTTGCTTGCAGAATGCATTCCAGTAGAGCGGACACAGGGAGCCATGTCAATGCACAGCGCTCGTATTTGCAGGCTAGATCAGTGACAGCAAGTGATCTAGTTTTCAAGCAAGCCCGGAGAAATCTGGCGCTAGTGCTTGGCCAGGAGCTTGAAAAGAAAATCAAGAAGCTGAAAGGCACACTCAGAGGTATCTCTTTTATCTAGAATAGAAGGTTTTTGCTGCCTCTCAGGTGCTTTGAAGGAAAGTGCTCAAAAGGACCTTGAAGCTCTGGAGCAACAGCATGAGGCAGAGACACCCCAAAGGGTGGATAGATTTTGCTAAGGATGTTGGCGCAAAACTCAGCAAAGAAGGACTTGAAGGGCTGAACGACGTGGTGAGATGGCAGGCAGATTTGGCAAGTTTCGATGGAAAGGGTGGTGAAGGAAAGGATGCGATAAAGAAAGATGGAGAGGTGCGTTCAGGGGTGAGGTGCGTTCAGGGGTGAGAAACCCGGTTGCTGCCCAGTTGGCAGATGTTGGTCGTTTGGGCTAGGACAAAGACATCTCAACCTCTGCACCATCTCAGGCGCTTGCAGTGCTGTCGAGTTGAAATGATCTCAATCAAACTCGTGTCAGCTGTCAGGATATGAAGAAATTTCGTGACCGTAATTGGCAAAGGGCTCAAAGAAAGCGAGTGTGTTTGTTTGCTGCTTTAGTCAACATGTTTGCGGCGTACGTGCTTTGTTTAATATTTGTTTTTCAAGGAGCGGCCTGTCAAAGAAAGAGCTCGAAGAAGAGTGCACTGCAAGAGGCAAGGCCAAGCAGTGAGCAGCACTTCCTTCACCACCATAATGTGATTTCTGGCTTAATTTTAGTTGAAGTGATGTTTGGCCCTTAGATCTTGATCTGATTTGGCATCGGCATTTAGGTCCGGCGAGAAAGGTCGCGTCGTGTCGTGTTGGCTTGCGCCGTAGATACAACAGTGGCACCGGAGCCTTGGTCTTGGTCGTTTGCGCTTCGAGCCCGCCGCTTTGCTTTGCGCCCCTCCGCCCTCTTTGCACGAGACTTGATCTTCGCCTTTGTTCCTGCCTTTGACTTCGGTGCTCCTTGCGGTCCACCTTGGCTTGTTGAGGGACAGGGAAAGTGCGGTGATCGTTGAATTTGTTTGAGGCCCTTCACTTAAGGTCTTTGGCCTCTCCCTTTGCTGGCTTCACTACACACATAGAGCCGACCTACTTTGCCTTGCTTGTTGGTTGACCTTCTTGCCCCAATGACAGAAGAGGACAAGAACGGTGGCTCTGGAGCGTGGTCTCGCGTTCCAGTGTGGGATGGTAACCCTCAAGGTTGGCGCAACTTCATGAAAGAGATGGAATGGTGGATGAGTGCCCTTGACCTTGAAGGGACAAAGAAATACAACCTGGCTGCGAGATGGCTTCTTCATCAGTTAGGGATCGTGAGACAGAGAGGTAAGGAACACCGCAAGACCTCCAGTACCAGAAAAAGGAGACAGCCATTGTCCTTGTACCCAAGGACCCACTTGCAGGATTGCGAAAGTTGCTCAAAGCCTTGGAATCCATCAACGGCAAGACCGTGCTCGACAAAAGAGGCGACCTCAGGAATGCCCTTTACCTTGAGTTGAAGAGGCGTCCAGGCGAGCGCATCAATGAGTTCTGCACTCGCTTTCGGTCGGCCGTTGCTGATTTGAAGATGGAAGGAGTGACTTTGCCTAGCTCCGAACTTGGCTGGCTCTTGAAACAGAAGTTGGGCTTGGACGCAATCCGGCAGCAGCTCCTTGAGACGGCGCTTCAAGGCCGCGAGAGCTATGAGGAGACGGAAGTCGAAGTGCTGCGATTGTTTCAGGACTTACATGTGGCTGACCCTTTGTCTTGACGGCCTCAACATGCACATAACTTGCATGGAGGTCGCAGCCCTATGAACAAGTTCTTGTCTTCGCAGCGCACCCAGTTTCGAGGTCCTTCATCTCGGAGTTCGTACGCAGCTTCAACGGCCCCCTCGTCTGCTTCCTTAAGCGGAGTCACACGACCTACCGGTCTGACCGCTCCTTCCAAAAGAAGCCGCCGCCTCGACAGGCCTTTGCGGCGACACGCAGGAAGACCCACATGAAGAAGGTGGCGACGAAGGTTAGGAGCCATACTTGGAAGAGGTGCTTCAGGCCGAGGCAGAGATCTTGGCGACGGAATTGGAGGAAGCTGCAGAAGAAGGGATCGGCGCTGAGCTGGTCCAGGACGTGGAGGACACAGTTGAAAGCGCAGCTGAAGCCCTTCTCGCAAGGATCGTGGATATGGCAAAAGTCGTCGACTTCACACCCTTCTTCCTCCGCCTCACCGAAGAGCAAGATGGCTGCTAAGAAAGGAAAGTTGCCTTGTTTTGACTGCAACCAGTTGGGCCATTGGGCCGGTGATCCCGAATGTCAACACCCTGGTGCAGGCTTGGGTCGAAAGGGGCCAAAGAAGCATGAACACGGAGCACCCACTTTCCGAGAATGCGGCAAATGAAGCGTTGGCTGTGTCGTGCGTGTCACCCACCGCAAGTTTGAACGATGCTTTGAATGCTGCAACCCACCAGCAAGAAGTTCACGCAGTACATGTTGGATTGTCGGCAGACAAGCGTTTGGTTGGTGCTTTGGATTCGGCCTGCAACCGGAGGGTCACAGGTTCAGATTGGCTTCGAAACTTCCTCTCAGGTGATGGGGGGACTCAGGTGGGATATAAGCATTGAATTGGCGGATCCCCACCATGGTTGGCAACACCTTGATGCGTATATTATTGTCCCCTCTCTTGGTCTTCTTTTAGGTCGCGACTTTTTGGAGAGCGTTGGTGCCAACATGTCCGTCGCCAACCGGGTGATCAAATTTGAGTTCCTGCAATCTTCCGCATTGCCTTTGAAGCAGTTGGCCGCAGGTCACTACATGCTGCCGCTCATGCCTTCACGATGGGAAGGCGTGGGAACTCAGAAGTGGAGGAGGCTTGGGGTTGACGGTGTTTGTGAAGTTCAGCTTTCTGTTTCCCAGTGGTTGAAAGTCAAGTTGGCCGCTTCACAGTCTTGCAAGAGCCTTCAGCATGAGCACTACCTCACTGAGCCAATTGTCAAAGCGAGCCGTGTGGTTCTTGGCCTTGCAGAGCTCAACCGTTGCAGCTCGGTCCAAGCCCCCAGGTCGATGTCCCCGGGAGCGCGTGCGCCGAAGTAGTGACAACATCTTCTTCGACCACCTGCCCCTCGAGCTCGATTACCAGTTCAGCTGCTGGCGATGTTTGGGGCAGCGGACAAGGCACATCACCACGATCGCGTTGGCCGTCCTCCAGAGCAAGTGCTTCTGCGCTGGAGCCGAATGGTCGGAAGACTTGCTGCTCGGCTAAGCTGGCATTTGTGGGGCGTCTAGCTTTGGCTTGCGCAGCGTCCTGCAATGCGTTTCGTGCCTACCGTCCATCTGCTGGAGTGCTCCCGAAAGGAATGGTCATGAAGGCAGTGACGCATGGTCACTTCAATGCCCAAGCGATGGCGGATTGCATCTGGCTTCGCAGCCGGATGGGACTTCGCTATACGCTTTCTTGGAGGACCCCGTGTTAACTGGAATGCTTGCAGCGAGACCTGCCAAGCGCTTGACTGAAAAGTGCAGCAATTGCGCCGCGGAAGCAACAAGAAGGGACTGCAGAACAACAGGCCAGAGAGCTCATTGGCCCTCGCGGGGGATTGCCTACTCTGAGAGGCGATCTGGTGAAATCGGCCGCCTTGTTGAACACAACTGTGAGGAGAAGATGACCGTCCCTCAGATCAAAGCAAAGTCGAAGCCGATTGTCGATCTCTTGAAGGCCAAGCCTGCGATGAGCAAAGCTTTATCCTCGACTTCCCCGGTGGCACCAACTACACCACCGAGACCGACTCCAGCGCCAGCCTTGACTGCACCAAAGGCCACTCCCGCTTCCATGGCGTCTCTGAGGTCACGAGTGGACCCCAGCACTCAGCTTCACCAAGCTCGTCAGTTCGCAGCTCTCGAGGACATTCTGAGGCAAGTTGGACGAGCGCTGGAACAACTTCAAGCCGCTCCGGGTGGACTGGGCGGCCTCCAGACTCTAGGGACAATGGCTCAGCACTTCGAACTCGATGCGAACTCAGACGCTCAGATGGGCGTCCCCTCCGAGCTCTCTCCGACCGACTGCAAGTTGCGAGAAGATGCAGCGCTTTCATGGAGCCGGTCTACGAGGAGAAGCTGGCGGCCCAGTATGGGGAGTTTGCAGTGCTGACCATTCAACTGAGCGTTGGAAGTTGCAACAAGAGTTGAAGAAGCGTGGGCAAGCCCTTTTGATTTCTCAGGCATGGAACAAGCACAAGATGGATCAGCGTCGGGGCTGTGGAACTTCTCAAACCAAAGTGCACCAGGCCTTGCTCACTGAATTCGAGAAGGAGATGGCATCCTTCGTCAATGATGAGTGCATGGTGTGGGTTTGACCACTTGTCTGAAGGTACCTCCCACCAGTTCTTCACGCACATCTTCCTTGAAGACCGTTACTTCCAAAGGTATGCCCAATGAGAATGCCCCGTTTGTTTCTGAGCTCTACACCCACACTCAACGAGTGATGAAAGAAGCAGCTCGCCGAGGGCATCGCGCGGGCACACCACTCAGCTTGGAGGCTGGGACTTTCTTCGTGAAGATCATCATGAGAAAGCAAATTAAATGCACTTGC